CAGACCGTCGTGGGGCTGGGGTGGTGGGGCTGGGAGAGGGGGATGCCCTGGGGACACCACGGGTGGAGGGGGATGGGGAGAGGGACGCAATGGGGTTTGGGATGGGGACACAACGGGGTCGGGGATGGGGACACCAGGGGCAAAGGGGTTTGGAACCGGGGACGTCACAGGTGGAGGGGCTCAGAGAGGGGGATGCCAGCAACTCAGAGAAGGGGACACCACAGGCTCAGGGGCAGGGACACCGTGGGCAGTTGGGCTTGGAGAGGGCGATGCCACAGGCTCAGGGATGGGGACACTATGGACCCAGGGAAGGGGACAGAGGGGAGGACACCACAGGCACAGAAAGCAGCGTACCACAGGCGTGGGGACACCGCAGACTTGGAAAAGGCAATAGCTTGGGAAGGGGGATGCCACAGCCCGGAGAGGGGGACACTGGAGCAGGGGGGTTCAGAGACGCCGGTACCCACCTCCAGCGGGGCGATGCAATGACTGGGGGTCAGCGGCGGGGGCGGCTGCTCAGTGGAGCCCGGCTGGGGGCTGGCTGCGGCATCCAGGGGCACCGGCACCGGGTGCAGTGGCAGCTGGAGAGGAGGGAGATGCTGGGTTAAGCTTTGAGGGGGGCTCTGCCCTGTGACCCCCCACCATGACCGACGCAGCCCTGGATGCACCTGGGGCAGGGATCCAGCCGAGAGCTGCAGCTTCTGCTGGAAGAGGTCGCTCAGCGCCTGGTTCTGGCGCTCCAGGTCAAAGACCCGTTTCTTCAGCTTGATGCACTCCTCACGCAGGTCCTGGCCGGGGCGGGAGGAGGGGGCGTCAGCTGGGACCCCCCCCAGTCCTCCTCCAGCCCACCCGCCGCCCCCCACAACCCTCGTCCAGGCAGCGCTCATATGTCTCCCGCTGGTTCTCGTTGGCCTGAGCCAGGGCCGAGTTCTCTGCCTGCAGACAGAGCAGGGACGGCTCAGGGGACACGGCACAGGCGCACGGGTGCCTGGACCCCAGGGGACCCCTCCTCTGCCTGGTGGGACCCAGGGCCACGCATGGAAGGACGGGGCTGCCCCAGGAGCGGTGGCACACGAGGGCCACGGAAAGCAGGAAAGTGCTTCCCCCCACCGTGGCGTCTGGGCTGCTGGCTCCGTGGCACCAGCCACGGCTGCCTGGTAGCACTGGATGCACGATGGCAGTGGCCATGGCTGCACGGTGGCCCTGGCTGCACGGTGGGCCACGGCTGCCTGAAGGGAATGGCCACAGCTGCCCGAAGGCAATGGCCACGGCTGCCTGGTGGCCATGGCTGCCCTGGAGGTCCTAGTTTCTGGTAGCCATGGCTGCCCAGTGGCACCAGCCACGGCTGCCCGGTGGTCCCGGCTCTCGGTGATCCCAGCTGCCAGCCCCCACCGTACCTCCAGCTCCCGCAGCCGCTGCAGGAGCTCATGGCTGGTGCCCGTCTCGCCAAGTGCCACGGGGCTCCCGTCTCCCGGCGCCTCGGCCACGCTCTCCGACATCGCTGGCTGCAGGGGGACGCACGTCAGGCCGGGGTCCCCGCTGGCCGGCACTGCCAGGCCCTGGGCAGCCCGGACCCCCCTTACCTTGCTTGGGACGTCCCCAGCCCCGTCCCTCCGCAGTGTCACCTGTGGGGGAGAACGGGGCTGAGGTGGGGGACGAAGCCTCGGGGGAGCCCTGGGGCCAAGCCCTGACCCCACCGGCACCAGCACCCGGAGCCACAGGGACCCCTCCTGCTGCCCAGCCACCCATGTCCCTTCCCGGGGTGTGCAGGGACCCTGGGAGGAGCACCAGCCCCGAGGCACCGGGATGCACAGCACCCCCGGTACCGGCACCAGGGCACCGGGATGCACAGCACCCCCGGGGCTGACACCAGCCTCGGGGCACCGGAATGCGCAGCACCCGGTGCACAGGACCCCCGGCGTGCAGACGGGCCCCCCCCCGGCTCTAGCCCCGGTGCCGGACACCCCGCTTCCCCCGGGGCTTCCCCCGGCGCCGGTGCCTCCCCGCACCGCTCGCCCCATGC